TGGAAAATCAGTTGTTTTCAGAAACTCCAGAAAGTAACCCAAACCTTTCTTAATCAGGCCTGATTGTAGCTGACAAATTTCTGATTAAAATGAGACATCTCCCAGCTCCACACACCCTTTCTTTGCAAAGTTATAGAATTTAAAAGAAAAGCCCTAAATTAATTTCTTATTTCTGTAGCTTTGAGCTGACAATGAACATTTAGGGCTTTTCTTGTAAATTCTATAACTTTGCAAAGAAAGGTCATGTAGAGCTGGGAGAGATCTCATTTTAATCAGAAATTTGTCAGCTACAATCAGGCCTGATTAAGAAAGGTTTGGGTTACTTTGTGGAGTTTCTGAAAAACTGATTTTCCAGAAAAACAGGTCTTCAACAGTCATGGGGAAAAATCCTTTTAGGCTTTTTATCAGCTGAATACTCTCTATCGATCGACGTATAAACGATCGAAATTGGAAGGTATCACTTGGATAGGTTTCCTCGTAAGTAATAAAAGCGCAGGTTAGCGATTTGTTTTGCAACTATATTTTACGAGATGACTTGTATTTGAAAATTGATTTTATAATAGTTAAAAGTTTAATTCAATGTAAAAATTATCCGTTTGTTTTATTTTTATCTCGGCTAATATGCACTGCATTAGCGTTAGTTAAAGGAAAAGATCCCATTATATGTAAGAATATTAGTTGTACCAAAAATATTGCATCCATGTCATTCTAAGGAAATGAATATTTGTTACATAAATATTAGTTTTAGATGAAAACATTTTGTCCTATACAGATTTTATTTGCGAAAATGTTTTGTTTTTTGGTTATATGTATACTGGAAAATTACAAATAAAAATTCAAAATTATTTCATCGCGCATGTTGATAAACCATTTATATCTCGAAAATAATGATCTTATTAATAGAAGCAATCGTTTTTTTCATTGTAAAAATTTAACTTCACATACGAAGAGAAAGAGAAATAATTTACACTCTTTTTAAACATTTTTGGATGTTTTCAAATGCGCAGAGTTAATGAAATTAATTATAAAATTGATTTCACAGCAAGGCAAATAAAATCATGTTGACGTGGTATAACAAATTCGTTAACAGCATCAGTCAACATCAAATAAAACTGACAGATCCTGTCTCTTACTTTGTATTCAACTATTATAGTTGAATAAATTGAAAATTTTATATATATGAGTGATTCTGATAAAAGTGATACCGTTTATGTTGAAAAATTTGATCAAAAGAAAAAGCAATCAAATATTATATGTCGGTAGTGGGTACCTAGTAATACCAGAAAAAGCAGGTTTGTAAACTACCATTTCTCTGTATCCTGGATTTTCAAAAAACCGTGGATTTTGAATGCAGAGAGATAAGGTCTCCTCTGTTGATTTTCACATATAAATAACCGAGACTACTCTAAAAGTACATAATTATAGATGACAAAGTGTGCTCCATCTACTGGTATACTCAAAAACGGTTTCACAGAACTTCAAGTATCGCTAGTTTTCTGAAAACCATGGATTTCTAGAAAAACGTTTTCCACGCATTTGAGCGCTGTATATGCACATCCACAAACTCTCCACGTTGTAAAGCCTTTATACCAAAAATCTGGTTTTGTTCATGCGTGTTACGTTAAAGTTACAAAAAACAAAAAAAGACACCGGTTACGGGACTTTTCCTAGTTTATCATATAAAGCAATTTCAGTCTTTGTTCTTTTTACAGGATCATTGTGTGGTTAGACTACACTTATGGTAAAAAAAGAAACTTTCTATCATGTTCGGTTGAGGCGTGATGTTGTGGGTAGTTACGGGACAAATTATTGATCAAATCCCACGGAGAATTAGTGAAGCGTTACCGTCAATTGCACAATAGCGAAAAGTGACACAAGTATCGAGTTTTCACTGTTATCTATTCTACATATTTAGTCAACTTTTGGCATAAGAAAAATGAAGACCAAATAACTTATCAGGGCTACCCAGAACTATGTAGTTACGGGACAAAAAAAATTGAATTTTGGAACAAGTTTGAGAAAAAGCCCGAAATACTGGGAACAAAAATAATGGTGTAGCTAAATGGAGAGGAGAAAATTCTTGAAAAGGGAGAGAAAAATACATTATTCCACACAAAGTAACAGGGAAAAATAACATTTATAAAACGTGACTCATATGAACCACAAGAAAGTCAACAACAAAATAACGGTTAAATATAGATGTTTTGCTTCTAACTCGTTAATAGTTAAAGATAGAAAAGCTATATTTGCGGCCATTATAAGTCTGGCATTGATGAGTATATGCGAGAAATGCGGAATTGTTTCAGCTAGTCTAAGAGGAGAAACGCTTAGGACCATTTACGTCATTCGAACGGTACTATTTTTATCAGAATCACTCATGTACAGCAGAGCTGGGCAAGTCTCGGGGTTTCCAAGTCGATTCAACAAAAATATTCTCAAATCATGAGTCATAAAATTTTCTGTCAGGTCAAGTCAAGCCAAGTCTCGGGTTTTTTCAAGACAAATCAAGTCAAATTACAAGTCATGACTTGAAATCATTTTTTCGTAGAAAAATGCTCAAAGTTTAGCAGACTTCGATCTATATTAAGGCATGATTGATGGAGTCTTGAGTACTCGCCTATTGTGTTGATACAAAATGGATTTTCCTGCGACTTTGTCTTCATAATTGCTTTTGGAGAATGGCCAAGATCGCTTATAAAGTTATAATTTTTGGTGGAAGAACATTTTTATCTAATATTGGATTAAAATTCTCGCCTAATGATGTATTTTACCTTAAACCTCGTGACAAAAACCTAATTTTCTTAGTTTATGACTTAGTCTGATTTTTCAGACCAAGTCACAAGTCAAGTCTAGTCGAGTCATGCGTCAGTAAAAAATCTACCAAGTCAAGTCAAAGATGGCTTGGCTCGACTTGCTCAGCTCTAATATGCAGTACAGGTCGCTGTATGGAAATCCTAAGCTGCTGGAACATTTTTGACTTTGTATTACATTTAGCGATACTACAGTCCAGAGTCACACAGCTCTACCACAAGGTTGACATTTTATGGGGAAAAACCCTTCCCACCAGATAAAGCGAAAAATCCCTAGTTATCATCATCATTTATCTCCAAACAGATAAAAGTCCCGCACCATCTCGCTATATTACAATATTAATATAACGTAGCAGTGCTTGACTTAATCAAAAGTGAAAGACTTGGAAAGGAGTTTTCCCATTTTAGCCCTGACAAGGTTTTCTCGATGCAAGAATATATATTTGAGAACTTTTTAATTTCATAGGGATGGGATGATGCAATAGTAAGAAAAAAGGCCGTGATGGTCATGCTGATGATTGAGCACTTTTGTGGTCAATATAACTTCGAAGTAACAAAAGTAATATGTGTATTAGAAGTATCTCTTCGCTCTTTGTCCGAATGTGCTAGAAGTACATCCAGAATCCATTGGAACTAAGAGAAAGGATTTCAGTCATTGACGAAGGCAACTTTCTGGGACTTTTATACTTCGATTGGTATAAATATGAAAACTTTGTGTAAAACATCGGAATCATTCTGAGTACTTCAGGTATTTCGGCTAAAAACGCAGTTAAAACGACTGTTTTGAAACTTGATCATTTTGATTATGCACTCTACCGTGACGTTACACGTAAAAAACGATTTTCTCACATATTGTGGGGAAATTAAGAGAGGATTTTAATGCACATTGTACTTCTTATACGAATTTTCCCCCTGTTATTGTTTATTTCAGTTTAGAATTCTCAGGCGGATTCCTGCTATAGCTAATTAACTAAAATGAAAGATTCTTTCTGTTATTTCGGAAAAAGAGGTATATTTACAGTGAAAACAATCGAATTGCACACTTAGGCATGCGTTGTTTTTTTCTGCATTTTGTAATTGCATAAGAATATTAGTTACGAAATTCACTTATAAAGTAGAGAATGATGCAATAAGTCAATTCAAACATATATAAAGAAAGACATTCTAGGATGGAACATTATCATTAGACCTTTCGACAACATTCGCAAATATTTATAATACTCTACAAAATTTTCATTACTGATGTCAAGCACAATCTACTACATTGAATTTGGAATATTTTAATACGCCTTTTAGAAGTGGAATTTAGATTGCAATATTGTGAAAACATTTTCTCAATGCGGTACGTTGTCACGGATAGACGTATTGATCGTATCCTGCCTATTCGTCCGACAATATATATTGTATCGGTTAGACAACATATATGTTCATGACTATAACAATGTTTTTTATGTATGTTTCTCCTTATTTGGATAGATGAGTCATAATGCTTTATCTGTAAGTATGTTTGCTCTTGGTAAAGCATACAACAACACAATGCCCATAGGTACACAAAACCATCCTGAGTCATGTTTGACGAAAATGTTGAAATTCTATTTTTGTCAGTGGGACTATTTTTTTTTTCTTTTGCGTTCTCTATATTTGTTGTAATTGCAAAACTCGATAGAAAGAACAATCATATTCTCATATATATCAATACACGGAGAGAAATTTCAACATTATATTACGTATTCTTCGTCTACACAACACGACTCATACACTATCGTTATTTAACATAGTTATTTTATTGACGTATTCAGAGTCTGAAAGCTCTTTTCATCTTTCGTTTTACACCAAAACGAAATTATTGTTTGCCTGCCAGTAGCACACACACACACATACATACACTTTTTCTTTTGTCGAATCTTTAATTTACACACAATAAAAAGAGACAAATTCATACTGTCTTCTTTGACGTCACACACAAATATTACAACGGCTCATTCATTTGAACAATTTTTAAACACACAAGAAGAAAAATCATGTCACAAGTTACAAATACCGCAAACATTATATATGGATTCTCAACAAAAAACACTTACGTCTTACAATCTGGTATGTTCTAAATAAAGTAAAAATATTTAACCTTCTTTCTTCATTTTCTCTTGAACAAATCTTAACTAAATAGCGAGTGACCAACTATTTCCTCTCATGATTAATTGTCAAAGTATAAATATTCAACTTACACTATTTCAGGTTCAAAATTTGAACGGGTCTCTTTCAACTACTAATGACCCTATTCAAGTTGAACAACCAGAACCAGCAACATCAACATTCAATGATTCGTTTCTTGATTCATTAACTGATCTTGAAACATCAATTGAATTACCATTTGATATACTCGATGGTTTTAGTGATGAATTAAACTTAGAAAATTTTATTGACACTATTTGGTCCGATACAACAGACTCACTCGACCAAGTTGATTCTATTGATAAATTATTAGCACAAGACATTGCATCATATGATATTGAAAATATGATAACATTACAACATAATACTGAAAATGATCAACAACAACGATGTTCAAACGATTCTGAGGTACCATCAATGATAGATGCTACATCACTAATAGACAGTCATCACTCAATAACTCAATCATCCGTATACGATGATAATTCGATGGAAAGTAGTAATACAGTGGAAGAAAACGTAGATGGAGGAATAAAAAAACTAGCTCGATTTGGTAATACTGAAGTAGTGAAATATAGCAATGAATATCATCATAGACGCGTGAAAAATAATGAAGCGGTCAAAAAATGTAGAAAAAAAGCAAAAGAAAAACAAAAAGTTACAGAAAATAAATTAACTAAATTAGCTGATGATAATCGAAAATTACATGAACGTATTGATTTATTATTGAAAGAATTACAAGTAATGAAATCAGTGTACAAACAACTTACTTAAAAAAAATGAATTATCAAATGTTGTCAATAGAAAATCATTATGAAAACTAATGAACGTTGTGAAAAACAACGACTAATGTTGCTGCTTTCTCGCAGTATAATTAGTGATTGAACTAGGTAAGGCAAAACAGTGTAGAATCTTGATAAGAAGTAAGATATCATTGTAAACAAAACGTTGTCATCATTTGACTAACGAACTGAGCCTTCACCTTTAATATGTTGTTGAGAAAACGTTGCTATAACTCAAATTGTTCTGTTGTATCGAACCGTGTACAGATGGATTACATAACCATTGTACTATCACCATCACTAATCTGAAAGAATTCAAAAAAATTGCATGTACTTTTCAATAAGAGCTAGCAAATAATATTGTGATTCATCTCCATGAGTAACTTGTGATATGTTTTTCTGTGTATTGTAACTATTCTTATCTATCTATAGTTTTTTGTTTATTTAATAAACACACTTTGAATATACTAGAATATAATAGTCGATGATCTTTGATAATAACGTTTGATGAACTGATTCTGAATATGTCACAGACAAAAAGATGTATGCATCAGATATATCGAAAAATATGTAAACTATCCCAGTGGATAGAGCAAAATGCGAGGATCATTTTGGTAAAAAAAGATTTTTGAACAGCTACCATCTTTACGGAGAAAAAAGTTGACTTTAAGGCTAAAGTAATATGACTTATCAAACAGCCTCTCGACTTCATTACTGTAAAGGTAACACATTTTCCTATAGAAAAATGTATAAAACAAAAAGGGATATCTCACCGGATACTGAGTTTGTCATTTGCATATACAAGTATATTTTGTTTTTTAACATTGTATCACAGACAGAATGCATGGTATGTTTAGAATGTCACCTTTACAGCAATGAAATCGAGAGGCTGTTTGATGAGCCATATCACTTTAGACTTAAAGTCATCTTTTTTTCTCCGTAAAGATGGTAGCTGTTCAAATATCATTTTTTACCACATAGTTTGGAGGAATTGCACTTGCGGCAATGTCGTAAAGTTTAGAAATTTAGATGTTGCTACAATCAGAAAAAAAATTTAGAACTTTTATTATAAGATAGATACCACTATATAAAATATTACGATATTTTGGGTGTTTTGGGATGTTTGCGTGTTTTGGGATTTTTGGGCTTTTTGAGATGTTTGGGGACGCCGGTTTTTGAATTAAATCTTAGTTTTTTGTCAAATGGAGGATTTCTCGGATTTTGGAGGTTGCCTGTAAAACCAATAAAGGCTTTATTGAAAAATCGGCGCCGGTCGATCCATGTCGTTCGGTGTCTAGTTGAAGATAAAACAAACCCGAACTCTCCAGCTTGAAGTATATTAAAAAACCTTGGGAAAAACTTCAGGATCGTTTTTGGACCTTGATCTCTAGAAAACTCCTATACCATTGTTTTGCGAATTCGTAATTCATCGCAATGCACACAACTGATGCGAAGTAACAAAAATGATCAAAAAATAATCAAAAAGGTGCCTCTTTTGTTCCTTTTGCGAATTCGTAAATTGGGACGAATTCGTCGAAAAGAAATTTCGGGTACCCATGAATTCGTAAATTATATTGGTCGACTGTCAACGAATTCGTGAAATGATCTTTTGGGTCCCCAAAAATTCGTATACAAATTCGTAAATTGGCAAAAATACGATAAAATGCGAATTTACGAATTCGTAGATGCCAAAGCATATCGGACGAATTCGTAAATTCGCATTTTATTGTCGAGAAATTTTTCTATGAGGGTAAAAAGATAGATTCGTCTCTCCGCATCGATTAGCATACTTCTCATGTCAATTCGCCGTTATTTTTATGAATTCGTAAAATGCGAATTGATATCAAGGACAAGAAATTTTTCTGTTAGATTAAGAAAACAAAGAATCGTCTGTTCGCATCAATTCGTCGATAGTTTTACGAGCTAGTAAAATACGAACTCATGTTCTACCTTTAAATTTTTTACTTATGGTGAAATCAGATAGAATCGCCTCTTCGCAAATCTTCGCATAGTTCTCATATCAGTTCGCCGCTATTTGTACGAATTCGTAAAATACGCCAAATGTATTTGCCACGTGTAGACGTATCAAAATCAGTTTTAAGTAGATAACTCGACTAGTTTTATTCAACCATACCGAAGACAACAAAAATCATTTTCTGTAAGTTGCGAATTTCGCGCACCGTACATGTCGGGTTCGTTAGCACCAGGATCTTTCAGTCAAGGGTTAGTGAATCGAAGATGA